ACCTTTTTCGACTATAAGGACGAATACGAGTAACTTAAGTGTGTAACCTACTCCTGGTTGTTTATTATACGAAGAGTATGTTAAATATCGTACGAAACGAACACCGTAAAATGTACCGATCGAAATGAGATTATGAACTTGTTTACACAGTTTTCGAGAGAAAAGTACGAGTACGAATGCTTCAAGTATCTCCTCCCTCTTAGAACGAACATTCACCACTATTATAGAAAATAGCTCAGTCAGACTTTTTTCTCTTTCTCGTCTTACTGACGTTGTGCATTTATTATGACAACAACAACAACATGACCGAGAGAAAGCGAGTCGCACGCTTTTCAAGGAGAAAGAAAAAAAACTGAATATTTTAGGTCGTGATGGAATGATCGAGTTTTATATCGAACGTTCGAGTTCAACCGATGACTTACTCTCACTCAATCATCTACTCTCTATATGTAAATGGGAAAAAGAATTCAAAGATATTCTCACATTAAGTCGCGTACCGAGTCTATCGTTAGCGACATTTGTCGCATTATATTCATCAAAAACTGATTGCGAGTCGATCACATCCGATGATGTCGATCGTTTTCGTTCGATACTTCATACATGTTTACCATACTATCTCGATGGTTACATGGACATCCCCTTGAGTGATCAATTCTTCAATCGTGTTCAAATTAAGCACGAATCCGCTGATTGGACGTATCAAGAGCAATCGAAAGCGATTTATGCCGCTTTGCGGCATACATGTTTCTATAAGAACATCACACGTTTTGTTTTTGATCATTTCCTCGATAAGAATTTCATCAAGGATTTTCAACAATCCAAAACGAATGCGAAACTTTCGCTCTCAATGATATTCGTATCGAATTATAAAACCATGAAATACAATCGAACACGTGATCAAACCATATGTCGAAAACGGCAGCCATACGCCACGAAATACTGTCTACAACGCGGTTGTATGGATGATTTAAATGATAAAACGATTGCAAAGTCATGTGCTAACCAAGCACCTCCATCAGGAAATTGTGACAAATATTGTATATGCAAAAATCAATGTATGAATCAAACTGAACAAATGATTCTGATGACGCCGATTCTGAAAGGAGAAGATTTGATTGAAATCTATCAGAAATACTTCGATGGTAAACGACAATTTTCCACGTATGAAAATCAGTATCTCAAACTGATCGCAGTGAATTTCGCTTATGTGAGAGAAAAGGCAGCGATGGTGCAAGTATACAAAGGTAAAGTGAAGATTGTTCCGGTATAATCGATTGATTTCTCCTTTTCAGACACACTTCTCGCTATGATCGCTGCCGGATTGATTATTATGATAACAGTTCTCTATCTACGTAGTATAGCCATCGCTTTTATGATCATTCTTGGCACGACATTAGCATCCGGTGTAAGTTATTTTGTCTATCGCGTGATTTATGGCATTCCGATATTTCCGACGATGAGTTTCATGGCGGTGTTTATCTTAATTGGAATTGGCTGTGATGATATATTCGTATTTTTTGACACTTGGCATCATGAAAAAGCAGAATTGTTGAGAAAGCGCCGTGAGAAGGAACAAACTGATAGTAAAATCGGTCCACTGATTTAAACTCTACTCGATCGTCTCGATTTATTTAGATACGAATGTTCTGTTGAATGATCTGAATACCAATGAAGAAATCAAGACGAACATTGTTGAATATTCTGATGATTCTCTCGACGAAAAGGCATTGATTGAAATCATGTCGAGAACACTGAAACATGCAGCTTCATCAATGTTTGTCACATCGTTCACAACGTCCGCTGCCTTCTTTACGAATATGTTAACAAATATTTCATTTATTCAAGTCTTCGGAGTGTTTACCGGAACATCGATCTTAGTTTATTATCTGATAACAATCACTGGCATCGCTGCTTTCGCTGTTAGTTGAAATCCTTTTGAGAAAATGATGATTTTTGTTTTTCTTCAAGGTTATTTATGAAAAATACATACATAAGATGGCATGCTGTACCAGTTGGATAAAGATTCCCATAGCAGATCTATGTCAACGTTTTCGCATTTATATGTTTGATAACATTCTCCCATTGATTATTATTAAATTACGTTATTTTCTCGTTCTATTCTTTCTGTGTTTGGGCATCTTAGGTAATCGAAGGCACCCATGTGTTTTTACTGAAATCAGCGTATCTATCTCTAGGTTTGGTCGGTGTTTGTTATTATCCGAAATTGCATGTACCATCTACTCCGAAAGTGATGTTTTTCGGTAAAACTCATCCGATGGAAATCTATGAATTCCAAATGAAACGTCAATTTCACGGTTATATCAAAGAAGACAATCGTTTCTTTGCTTACCCACCAATTTCCTTCATTTTCCCAATTCAAAATATTTACAACGAATATCTATTCCATATGAATGATCGCGTTCGACTTCACCTAATGCCCATCGATTTGCATCGACAAGTCACACTGGACTTTTTTAAGCAGTTTATCAGAGATCTGGGAACGCGCAAAGATTTGTTTATTTCGAATTACAACTTAGAGAAAGATTTCGATGGATTTTATAAGGTAGGTATCGACTTATTGTTTAATTTTGTCTCCATCGATTGTCGTTTAGCTGAGTACAGAAAATACTTTTAAAGGAAAACTCGTTCAAGACCGAGTGAAAGCTAACTTCTCGAAAGCGAATCACGTCGAGATGATTAGATATTTGCGAACGATAAACGAAAGTTTGATCGAAGAACTTCTTTCGAAAAGTATGCGGTCAAACTCGACGTTGTACCAAATCAGCATGACACAACTAACTCAGTCGCCAAATCCAAGTATTGTTTATGCAAACTACCGGAAAACTTTCAATAAAACGTTGGAGAAAATTTATAAACAACAAGTATGTTGACGAAAACTCGGCTCGACTTTCCCAGAAAGGTGTCATTTCAGGTTGAACATGGTGCAATTTTAAGCACTTTCAACGAAACCACGCGTGACGCAATGATAGAAGAGCATCAACTTTCAGCATTGAAGACCGCAATGCAGTGCATAACAGGAACAGCTGGAGAGAATAATCTTCCAGTGGAGTTTTGCGAAAAACAATTGAAAAAACAACGGTCACGTAATTGGGCGGTTTTACTTCACAAACCATCGGCTATCGATGGGAGTGTTCGACCATTTGCCGTTTTAATTACTATTCAAGGTACTCTCAACCGCACGAATTACGATTCGTACGATGTCTATTACCGAAAAGTCAAAGACTTTTTTGATTCGTATATGAAGCAACATTCACCGGAACATCTTAAACACGGCTGGTTTTCTTCAGCATCGTTTGCGTTCTACGGTATTCAACGCGAAACTGTTGTTGGATCATTCTCTTCCCTCATTGCATCACTGGGCATCGCTCTACTGATTCTGTTTCTGACATCAGGAAATCTGTTTATTGCAATCTACGCGCTGCTTACGATGACTTTTTCTATAAGTAAACCTACCTGTTTTCCTTTTCGTCTCGAAGAAAATTTCATTGATTGTTTTTAGCTGCGACAATTACTATCTTTGCTTTCTTGAAATGGGAATTGGGCATTGTCGAAGCGATTGTAATAATCATGTCCGTTGGTTTATCCGTTGATTTCGTTGTTCATTTTGGCGTTGGTTATATTAATGCTGACCCGAGTACTATCGAGCGTGAAAGGAAAAAAGTGAGGAACCGATATTCATCAACAACGTCAGAATCACACGGTTTCGGTTCGACATGGAAAGAGCATCACGCTGAACGGGAGGTACGCGTTAGAGAATCAGTCTCTCGCGTCGGTTCAGCGGTGTTTATGGCAGCTTTTACAACGTTTGCCGCTGGATTTTCGATGGTGCACGCGTCACTGACTGCATACGGACAAATGGGACAATTTCTGATGACGATAAGTATGTGAATGAAATCTGAGGCAACAATTTATTTGATTTAATTGTGTCTAGTGTTGTCATCATGGACATTTGCCATGTTTTTCTTCTTACCATTGTGTGCGATCCTTGGTCCTGTTGGCGGATGCGGTTCAATTCCATTTTCGCGAATTGCTCTGTGTTTTAAACAGCTTATACATCGAAATTGAATCTACTGAGTGCTCAAGTCGTTTATTTATTACTTGTTTTTTTAGACCAATTTCTCTGTTAATTTGAAAAATGTGTATTTAAAGAAGTATTCAAGCGCAGTCTGTGATCATAGGAATCGGTTTGAACGTATCAGCAAAATACTTTGTGATGCATTGAATTGGTATGTGTTTTATAAATCATCTAGATTGTGCACAATTGACTGGAATGGAAGAAAAAGTAAAGAACACTTTCGCAAGGATTTCTGATATGTAATCTATTCGTGACATACGTTTTGTATCAACTCTTAAATAATAAAAAACTGTACACGAGTAAATTTAAATACAGTCAATGAGAAATACAGTTTTGAATGTCAATCTTACATAACATAGGACCAAACGTCATATCATCTGCTTGTGTCCTTCATTTTAGCGTGCGCCACACTTTAGCATCAGGTACTCGCACTATTTTTCTCGTGCGTTTCATAAATGATCACGAAAAGTACCACGGAACGAAGATAAATAAAGATATTAAACTAAATCTCTCTCATAACATATCTCGGGATCAACTAACATCAAGTTGCATTCATTATCAATCAAATAAACGAATATTTCTACACCGGCAATAAAAAGAACAGATAATCACACACAAAAACATTCCGAGTTTGATCGTTCACCAAACTAACGTAAAAAAAAACACTTTCCACAAAGCTGGTATTAGCACAATCGATAAAAGAAAAGTTGTGACCAGTGGCATAAGCGAATCTGAATTAGTTTCAGTTGTATTTAAGCCCGTTGACATATTTTATACAGTTTCTTCGATGATAATATAAAAACGATGAATGTTAACATCGACGGCACAAATACCAGAAAATAACCTATAGGATGCATCCACTTAGAAACGAGATAACTAATCTTGGTAAATTTAATATAATTAATTAGCATAGTGTGATTAATATATGTCGATGTTGATCAAATTGAGCTTTGATATGTTGTCTATAGGATTGATCGTGTTGAACAGCTTCATGACTTCGAGCTAAGCCTATAATTAACCAAATAGCAGAAAGAATATTAATTCCAAACGGCATTAAAAAATGAAATATTGTTATGAATGAGTTATAAACAGTCATCGAATTTGAATACTGGGCTAAACACCAAGTTCTTAGCTGATCAATATCTGCGTCGTCAGCTAAATCACGATGAACAGGATCATGAATATGTGTTGAAACAATCAGTATAAATATGCCTATCAGTATCCACCTCGACATTGTTTTACTCTTTGTTTCACACTGATTGCTCGTCGAAGAGTCGTTCCCTCTTGAAATTTGAGAGACAATCAAAAACCAAAACTTATATATTAGAACAGTGACCATCATTATTGACCCAATCGATGAAACCAAACGATAATTACCAGTTCCTATTTGCCTTGGTTTTTCTCGCCCAAATGTTATCATTGATAAGCATCCACTACTAATCTCAACGATACACACCTCATGAAGAACACCTAAATAGTAGTAATGATAATGGGGGTATTTTGATAAAAAGGACATTGAACTGTATTGGTACATGAAAAATCTGTTCATGATATGGTGCAATAAATCCATCCTTGTCGATGAGCATAATGACACTTTGAAATAGAGCAGAACATGGTATGATTAAGTCTCGGCGAAATTGAAGTGTTAAACTAATACGTTGATTTTGCCATTGACATCGTGAACCAAAATAATTTGCTGGACATAAACATTGCAATATTTAGATAAGGGTTCACAATTTTCATTTGAGAGGTACTCTGCCGTTGAATAATATTGTATATTACTGCTTAATCTATCTAAAGGCTTACAGTTTATATACCAAAATGCTATATTCATCAATTCGTGAGAGCCGACAGCTGATTGAAGCGTGTCTAAAGTATTTCTCAAAGAAATCCTAAAGAAAAACAATTAAACTGCTTTACTTTGATCAAATGTTTGTCGAAGTTGAAGTGCGCAGTCAAGCGCTTGTTGACAATTGTTGCCTTCGATATGATTCAATGATGTGAGCATTATTCAAGTAAATTCTCTGTCTCGAAGATTGGTACAGTAGGCCTCAATAGTCGGTATTGGGCGTTCATACAAACATTGACCACCATAGCGACATCGAAATTCATCTTGAGTACATTCAGATATTTCTAATTGTTCACACCATTGTTCATCTTCTCCATTATCACAATTAAATAGTCCGTCACAAATCTCACGCCAGTCAAGACACATTGACCATGTGGTTCTTTGTTACAATTAGGTAAAGAAATCGATAACATGCTCCATGAGCGACATCATTAATATTATACCGATAAATTGTAAAAGTATTCTCAATTATGTCGCAGAATGATAAAGATACATGATGATTAAACCGATATTGACAAAGGATGCCAAACCACGGTGATGAACAATTATAAAACATTTCTGAAGTATTTCCATCTACCTCATATCTTTCTGCAACATCGATCGGCGTAAACCATACCAATAGTTGGTTACTAGCTACATCTTGCCTTTGCAGCTCATTGAATAAGATTATTTGGGCTATGTTCTCATCGCTTCCATGTAGAACTTCTTCCCTTTTTCTCTATTGTCATAGTCATCATCAGATTGAAGGCAATAAGAAGTTAAGTGAGTACTGGACGAAAACGTTTCAATATAGTTTATGACAGATTGTAGACAATGTGTGTATATAAACAATTACATGGCAAAGAAGATGTGTTTTCGCCACCGGAATGATATAATGAATGACGTGTACTCGCTGTGAAATACTGGAGTAGAGCTATAAGTACTATATGCATAGAGCCAACACAGTTTTTCATTTATGATCTGTATGTTCTACTCGGTGCGTCTACGCTGATTTTTTTCTCACTTTCTGCAAACGACAAAACAGATGGATGCTTTCTTCACAGTTTTCTTCCACGTACAGCAAACATCTGATGAGAGCATTTCTATTATGCTTTATCTCGAAATATATTGCAACATTATGACATCTGCTAAAATAGAAAGATATTTATAAGAGATAATGATCATCGTTTTCGCTAGTTATACGTCATTCTGTTTGAATTTCAACAAACGGTCCATATTTCTATCGTTATAATCTCCATGGCATAGACGCCTATCTTTCCTCTGCTTTCACGGATATTGATGTCCTATTGTCCACTAAATTTATGCCATTTGCCCAGAAATACTTTCCAATAAGCTGGAGCTGGTACAATAAATATAAGAAAAGTCGTTGTCAATGGCATCAGCGAGAGGCAGTAAACAACGACGGTTAGATACAGTTGCCATGGTGATTCAATACATTTAACGATAAGCATTGTAATGATCCAAGGAACTTTGAAAATGATCATACAACACGGACTTATAATTAGATCTTTATGTGCATAGAATTGTTTTCTAAGAACAACCGAGTATTTTGTCTTTGTATCGGCTCGTTGTCGAATTCGTGAGAACGATACCAAGAACACAATAGCAGAAATGAAATTAATCAGAAATGGAACGGTCGTGTTGAAAACATTGATAACAATCGTGTAGTATTGTAACCAAGGTTGCCGAAATTTGATGATGCACCATGAACGTTCGTTATTGTAGGGATCATTCAGAAGATCTTGATTGAAAGGTCGATGGAGTAAAACAAGAAGTAAAACAGTACCAAGCAAAGGAATGACAATTTTCACAGCTCGAACACTCGTTCTTCGACTAAAACGAACGCCTTGAAGAGAATTACTAGTGCGCTCACAAGCGATACACGCTGTCAACCAATCACATAATGATACGAGAAATGATAGTAAAAAGTCGAATAAAGTGCAGCTGATGATAAGCCATTGTCGATTCTTAATTACGGTAATTTGGCTGACAAGTAAATGAATGAAATGTCCGGCAAGAAAGACAATTGTCACAAGAGAAACAAATGATAAAGCCAGAAGATAATTACCAGAACCCGTCTTACATATATTACTATTGATACACGTCAGGAAACTCATCAGATTGGAAACAATACCGGTGATGAACATTAGAATGGCGAAAGCAGTGAGTACCTTGAGTAATATTGACTGTTGACTCCATGGTGCATCGGTTATTATGACACCACTAAGTAGAGAATCGAGCGTGAGGAAAAACTGCGTTGTTCTTATTTGACAAAACGTCCCAGTGATACATTTCGGACACGCACAAGCAAAATAGATTTGGCCGGAACGTTTTTTTTGTAAACAACGACCATCGTTTTCACAATAGTTCTTCTCCGTACAATTAGTTATCGCATGATTGAAATACAAACATTCGGGAACATGTTGTTCATCGACTAAACACATGTATATCTCATCGTAGAAGCATGTAACATTTCGAAAGTATTTATGGTAGAATTTAATGCGTTTTAGCCATTCAAAATTCATTAGTGTGCTATTCAAACGTTCACTAACATGTGGACAACGATTATGAGGACTTATGGATGTTGTCAACGATGTTCGATTATCTTCCAGCGATCCAACCAAGTAATATGAGCCATAAAATGAATTTGGTTCATGAATTAACTGCGCAACGATGATTGATGGTAAATATGGATAATCTTCATCATTGATTGAGAACTGTTTATTCGGCTGAACGTTGCTCGAGAAATATATATCACGATGAACTAGCATACCTGGAAGATATGTAGGTATGTAAAGGAAATGGACTATCAGCACTGGAATATTATCAAGGTTGCTTGTAATACTGAGGACTGAATGACTATTTCGGTTCTGACAATGAGTGCCGGAAAAGTGTTCTGGACAAAGACAGATTTGTTCTCCGGTGCGAATGTCTAAAGAAACACAAGTGCCACCGTTCTGACATTGAGTCGCATCGCAGCTACTGTGTGTCACCTGACAATGATGACCAGTTCGACCCAATGGACAAATACATAGTGCATGTTCGTTGACAATTGCTGATACGGATGGTGTTCGGCAATTGAGCATAGTTACTTCTCGATCACATGTCGATCCCGCCCAATTTGTAAAACATCGGCAAAAAGCACGGTGTACATTTGAAAACATCTCACAAACGCCATGTTTACAACTAAGTTCGTGGCATAACGCACGATCCGAAGGATGCTGTTCTGGAACCAATCGAACAGCCAGGCGATTGACAGGTAAAAACGGAAATTGAACTGGAAAGAACCATGATACTGAAGGATCGACACTATATTGTGTAACAATATAGCTATCAATTCGTAATGATAGTTTACCCAAAGACGAACTGGACTGATTTGTTCGAGGATACGTCAGTACGATTAGATGTTTCAACGATAAATGGATTGTCAAAGCATAAATATACGATTCTACTGCCAAAGGATTTTCTTCTTCGTCGAGTAAATAGAAAATCAGTTGATAAATAGATTTTACTTTCATTGTCGACACGATGTCCATCCTGAATGAAACTGTTAATCGTTCACTTTGGTACTGGCATTGCGAGCCATGATAACTTGGCGGACACAAGCAGTGATATTCCATGTTTGTATCGTATATAAGGATACCTCGATGACATAGCCAGAAAACACTATTATTTGCGGTAATCATAGTTTGATTTCGAGTTTTCATCAAACTAAAACGAGTAACTTCGAATTGATTTGGTATAGCGCGTTCGATTTTATATCCAAAATCACATGCCCATTCATCTTCGGCGTCAATACAATCGATTTTTCTATTACATCTACTAGTATTTGGTAAACACGTACCATTCTTACAAGGGGAACCGTTACACGATGAATTTTGTCGCCATGGGCATAAAAGTTCATCATCCCTTAGATTACAATTGTCTAAACCATTGCAAATGTCTCGAAAACTGACAGTTTCACCAACTGGTTTCTGACACGGCAGAAGCGAGCCCGAATTGAGCTCATCCTCTATTTGCCTCGCTAAATACCATCGCTCGTCGGATGCAAAGAGACAATCAACACTGCCATTACCCGCTTTAGATAACGGCAAGCAACCAACTTCACTTGAATTGTACTGAAAACAGTAATGCTCATTTTCAGAACAGTTGCCGACATGTTGGGCAATGTAATTCGAAATCATGCGAGGACAATGCAATTCATCGCATCCATTTGGTCGATTCCAAACACCATTACAACGTATTGCACGTGCATTACATGGCCATTCATCACAATTAGTTTCATCTGTTTCCTTTTCGCTTTCAATTTTCTCCCTAAAAATCAAATGCCCATTGCATAGTTCTTGATAGAAAACTGGCATCTGGACTTTCAAGTCGAAATAGCGTAAGTATTGACAATTGAATTCGTGCGTGCAACCAATGGGAAAAACCTCATCGACATCGAATAGACAATCGAAATGATTATCGTGCAATAGTCGTCGAGGAATACATGTTGGAGTCGTACTTAGAACACACTGAAACCGATTTCTCAGATTATAATTACATGAATCGATACTACTCTCATCACTTGTATGTGGAAAACAATCTGCATGGCGATCGACGATGCGGTGAATAGAAATGAGTCGACCATTGGCACATTGAAACAGCGACTTGGAGTTGTTAAGAGCGATCGTGTTTACATGAGAGAATATATTCTGAATACTGACAGCTAATTGAGTGGCATGTGAGATCCCAATGCCACTCGCGCTATATTGCCATAGATAGAAAAACACCAGCTTTCGGCATTCGTAATTTAGAGAATGATTCACTATATGATGTTCAGATAAAATATACAAATTCGATGCAGAAAAATCGTACACCGAACTGTTGTAACAGATAGCAATGGGTGGAGAAAAATATGCTTTGTCTTGGTTCTTCAATTTTGTGTTATTGTAAAGTAATTGAACATATGGCATGATGTAATATGGCGGTGGAAAGAAAAATGACTGTGGACACGAGAGATGAAGATTCAGTTTAGGTCGACAATAACTTGCAGGAAAATAAACACCTTCGTGACATCGTGATTGTACATTGGGTGATTCATACAAACAAGACAAGCCGAGTAAACACCACATATGCTGCCAGCAAGTGTAATTTAAATTCGTATCATTTTTAAAGCTGAATATATCTTTGATGTATAAGGAATTTCTTTGACTCTGACATTCTTCATACTCTGCTGATTTGCCAGCTTTATCAAAACCATAATCCTGAAAACACGATCCATCACCACAGCTAAATCCGGCCAGACCACACGAATGATCGTCGCAGTCAATCGAACTCTCATTGTGACAATATTGACTATGATCATGAGTTTCTTGTTCGTCGTAAAAATCCATGCAATCCATAGTTAAATCGAATGAGAAACTTCGCGGTATGCATAAACCATTACGACATCGATATTCAGTAATTGGATCACATTCATTAAGTTCCATTTCAAGACAATTCTCTTCATCATGTCCGTTAGTACAGTCGCGTATTCCATCACAAATTTGTCGCCAGTCAAGACATAGATTGACATACGGTGTACAATTAGACATTTGGTAGCATGTCATTTGTGCTTCCGTCAGTCGACGCACATCGAATCTTCGTTTTTTAGGCATTTCAATGTTATTTCGAATGAATGTCTGTTCGATGAGATCATCAAACGTAGGAAAACTAAGCGCAAAACTGTATTGACATCGGACTCCGAAATATTTTCCATCTGAACAATTACAGAATATTTGTTCCGGATTCTTGCCCGTTTCTAAATAATCAGCATAGTTCGCAATAAGGTCGAGAGGCGAGTGCCAATCCAAAAGATCTGTTACATTCACTCCGGCTTGACGAATAGCAAGAAAAGTAGAACTGGTGCCGTAACAAGGAAGAGATTTACTTTCAAATGGATCGACTGACCGAATGCAATAGGAGATGAGATGTCGACCAAGTTCGTTGCCTGTTTTCATATAGCGATACAGACAATCATGGTCACCATTATTGAGAATATTCTTCGTGTGAAACAATCGAAAAGGTTCGACGAATAATATTCCATATAGAAGAACGGATAGTATTAACATATTTCTTCCAAACATGTTTCTGATGATTATTTCGAAAAAAATTTTATATAAAACGTGTTTGACGTCAATGAAATGTCAACATTTTGTATATGTAGAGAGATTGCTGAACATGACATACAAATTGGCACGTAACGCACTCTCTATTTGATACAGAAGAATCTGAATGAACCGGAATATTCTATTGCTAAATTGTTTTCTTAAGAACAGAACAAAAAAAGTCGTGTTTTTCTAAACTTTTGGACCTGGAATACGTAGGACATGTTTTTGTTCAAATATCATTGAGTCGTCTGTCTAAAGTTCAAACATGTAATAAAGAAAATCTTGGCTTTCCCTTTTTATCAAATTACAAGTGCGTGTTTGCAGGAAAATGGCATTGCACCATATTTTACTCTTTCCGAGTCATTTTCAATGTTCAGCAGAGCACTATCACTCCGTCTGCTATCGCCCTTTGCATTATCTTTTAGCGACATCAAGAATCAAGTGAGCTTATAAAGACAACTACTACTGTTAAATCTGCGTTTGTTCATTAATTGCGTCGCACAATACTAAACTGCAAATGATAGCACATGTTATCGAGAGTTTCAAGCGTTCGTTTGGTTTGATTCATCGCTAAATTTGACATATATCCTACGAGAAATCAAATCAACAGAAAAACTTATCGAAATGACACTCCAATGAACTTACGTGACAGATATGAATCTTCCAGACGATTCATTTGATCTGAATATTGTTTTGTAATTGGTTCGGGATTAGCTGTTGAAAGCAATTCAATTCGAAACATTGTATGAGATGATAAATGTCCAAAACTTTGTGTTTTATTATCATTACAAGCTGTACAGAGATTACATTTTATTTTAAAAAATGATTAATAACACAGAACAGATTAAATGAATAAGAAAAAATATGGTGAAGTGACACCCTCAGTCGCTTGTTGCAATTGAATATTTATTTTTGTATCCTTGACGTATGTAAAAGACACATTTGTCGTTAGAGAGGAAAAAGCTTCAGAACAATCTCGTTCTTCTTTTTTCTTTTCTTTCTCCTCTACGAACACAAATAATATGATATTTTTTTCTTTTCGTTATTATTCACAGTTAAATGAAGCAAATAGATCGATTGATTTGCGTATTTAAATATGATTTAGGAAAGTTGTTATTGAGAAAGAAGATTTTGTTCATTTCAAAGTGTTTGATCGAAGAAATAAATTGAATTTTTCAATGAAAAAGAAATATTTTATAAATTTGTCTTTTGATTTTCGTGTTTAATAATCTTTTTAATATCCGCTGATTGAACAATTCTTATGTGATTCTTTTTGAAATTGTTTAATTGAAATTTGATTGTTTTCTCATCAACACCTCGACATGCATCTTGAATAACAAAAGTTTTATAATTGAAACGTTTTGCATCTAAAGCTGTTGCAGCAACACAATAATCCAATGCTAAACCAGATATAAAGACATGAGTAACATGTTTTGATTTTAATTTCTCATTTAATATCGTCATATGAAGTTTATTATTATCAGCAAATGCTGAATAACTGTCAACATCTGGATCAGTTCCTTTTTTTATATAAAAAACCTTTTGATTTGGAAGTGGATGAATAAGATCTTCCGCAATTTGTGCTTCGAAAGTATTTTGTACACAATGTGTTGGCCATAAGACTTGTTGTGTCCAATATTTCGGTCCTGTATAAGTGACAAGATCCCCGATTTTGTATTTTTCATAATGATCGCCTAACACATATTCTTGGCGATCTTTGATATTGTCAATAAATGAAATGTGATCTTTTGGATGCCAATCCATTGTATAAACGAAAACATCGAATGGAATTGTTTGAATTAATTTATTGATGATCGGAATAACTTCTGCAGCATTTTGTCGAGCTGAACTTCGATTCAATGCCAATGAACCATTGATAAAACAATATTGAACATCGACAATTAACAATGCATAAACATTTTTCGATGTTTTCTTCTCTACAATTTCGTGATGAAGATTATTTATTTGAAAAGAAAAACATTTTTACTTATTCGTTTTTGTTCATTTCTTCTTTTTCCTTCGATGAAGAAGATACAAATAGTTGTGATGAGAAGAAATTTGAGAAATAACATTGAAATCGAATGATGATTTTTGTGTTTATGAATATTTACGATTTTACACTAAACCAAAACTATGTGATCGATCGACAAATATTTCGATGTTATTCTGTAGCGATGTTAATTCATGCATAACTTATGTTTTGTTAATCGATGAAGAAAAGCAATTATTTCCTTTTTCTTTCGATGAAATTAATCGAACGAATTTATTTGTAAAATATCAAAGAAAATTTCATTTGAGACTTTGAATAGTCATTCCTGGTTAAACAAATGTTGAAATAAATCTTATTTAGTAAGTAAATGCGTATGATACACTGAAGAGATTTAATGTGGAAATATTTCAACTTTTTCTTTGATTGGAGAATTGTAAAACTGGTGACAGATGGTACTGTAACGCAATTAAATGTTTTGTTTTCATCGCCTCCAGTAGATATTAACTATGAGTGAGTGTTGTTTCTTTGATATATTAACAAAACAGGTTACTGATTAACAATTCTCGTATCATCAACAGGCGAATTGTGAATGATGACAAAGGGAAAGAATAATGTAATGGGTGTATTAGGTGGAGTTGAAAAGTACGTTGACTTGTCTATTTATTCATATGTATTGTATAATTTATCAAATATTTTAGAACTGAAAGTGATCATTTGGCTGTGCAGCGATTACGAGTGAAAGTCGGTGTCGCCGTAGGCTTGTTGATTGTCGTAGTGATCGTAACTCCAACAATTGTTGTTTTATTGCGAAAGAAAAGTTCAACAATAACAGGTTTAATGAACATCACTGAATCGTTGATGACAACAGAGGCAGCTATTACAACATCATCGTTCATTGAAAAAGAGACAAATGTGGTAACATCTCTTGAGAGCGCGACTATAAAAAACATCGTAACTTCGAACGGAATGACAACAAATGCGGCAAAATCAATCACATCCACAAGCATTGCAAAGAATGTCACAGGTGAAAAAGTTCTATCAGAGGAGACTTTAGAAGGTTTATTTTAACAATGTTGAATATTTAGCTCTCCAAATATTCAACCGAACGGATGAAATAGTTTATGCTATTTGGAATACAACTGCAGGTAGCAACAGTTTGCCATCGTCAGCAGGTGGAGGAGAAGGTGAATACTGGCCGAGTGAACCACCTGAAGCTGCGCTAGACGGTAACTTGAGTACAGAATATACAAATCATGGCTGCGCTGATGAGTGTTTTAATATAACATCTGGCATGTACACAGGTTTCTATTTCACAATTAAAAGTGCCCCCTTTCGTCTTATGAAATTTTGTATGGGTACAAACGTCCGACATGTAAAGCGCGATCCGATGACAATCACGATCGAAGGCAGTAACAATGATCAATCGGAATTACCCCTTGGAAAAAGTTGGACTCTAATCTATAGTGGCTCTTCAGGTCTCACTGAAAGTCTAAACAGGTCATCCTATGGCACAACACAAACTGTAGCAACGAACGTAGCGTCATTCAGAAGCTATCGTCTTATTGTTACATCAATCAGAGGAAAACATAATTCTGCTTCATACTCAGAATTCGTGATGATGGGACAATATTTAAATAACACCAACTGAATATGATGCTGAACAGATGGTTATGTTATCATATTTCTTGCTTTACCATTTTCTTGTTGTGTATGTTTGATCGTCTCGTTTTACTTTTTATCAGTATGTTATTGTTCACTCGTCGTTCTGCTTTATTCTTTGATGTCTCAAAACGCAACAATTCAACAGCAGACATTGTGGAAAGTTCATTGAAAAACAGTGAAAATGTTTTATTAATAAATAACTTAATGTATTGATTTGTATTTGTGTCATTATTTGCCTGAACGAAAGTCAAGGAGAAAGCTTAAGGAAACTGTGTGGTATCTATACCGAGTTTCTTAGCGTAAGAATGTCCATAATAGACTAGAAGTTCCTCTCCAGCAGGAATATTTCGGATTGCCAAATAGAAAATATCATTGTTATCTAAGAAAGAAACATTTCAAGAATGAATTTATCGGAAAAAGCTCTGTGTTACATATGAATGATATGAGATTTTGTTGACGAAGAGTATTTGGACAATTTATGTAACGAAGCCAGTTGGATTTGTTGGGATCAATTGCATCGACATAATATTTTATTTGACCTGTCTGATCGGGTATCTACATTACGAATAATATAAATGAGGTAGTAGATAGTCTTCATTCTTACTTGCCAAGAATAAATGCTCATCTTTTGAAGAGGATTTGCTCCGTATCTATGACCATCGTAGGGACCAAAAAAACTGAGCCGTGCTATGACACGACGAGCAAATACTCCGAAACCCTGAGAAATACAGATCGTGCAGTTCTGTTTATATGGTCCTTCCTTCTATTCTCATAGATCACTTACAGCATTGGGAAGAGAGCTTTGAGAAATATAAACAATGTCTGCCGGAGCAGTGGCTGCCGCATAAAAATTGACGTTGGTAAGTGCAGGGTAAATTACCTAGAAGTGATTACAAATGAGAGATTCGCCATTCACTAGAAACGGAATAGTCTAGGAATTCGTTTATTTTATTGAACGAAGTCTTGGATAGTAGCAAGTGGTTACGATTGTACTTACTTTTGCGTCAGGAATATGTATGAATTTAGGTGATGGACGAATGTCTCGTGGGCAAACGTCGTTTTCTTTACAATTGTTACTTGAGAGTAGAAAGACACATATATAGTAAATCAACACAAGAACTCTGCGGTGCATATTACATGCGATAATGTAAAAATGATCTGTAAAAGTTCATTCGGAATTTCTAGAAAGTTTCACAATCACAACGACATGTAGATCATAGAGCATATGAGTAAAGAAATTGAAGATCAATATAATAATAATACGAGAAAAAAAAGAGCGGCACAACATAGAATTGATTGTGTTGAAAATTAAAGATGACTTAGGAATGAATAATAAAACACGATGCAAAGAAAATATTGAAAAATTCTATGGCAGTCGTTATAAAGAGCCGAAAAAAGAATTCTTTCTCTATTCTGATCGGAGTGTTATTAATAGTTGAACATTATGATTGAATTGCGAAACAACGTCTGTGTTTGTGTAATCAAGATCAATTTCTGTTCTTACCCGGGTTTATTTTATTTTAAGTGTCATATGTATATACGGAATCGATTCACAAGAAAAAGGAAAAGTGAAGGGAAAGGCAATGTTCAGATTAGCAGCAGCACACTCGTGGACATGTTTTGCAGCAGACGGTCTTCTTGACGACTTTGACAACCGGTCGGTAGCAGACTGTTTTGGTGACGGTAGTTTTCTTGCGTACACAACATGGAGCACAGCATGGATCGCAACATGGATCACAGCATGAATCACAACATGAACCACATCCACAACCAGAACTGCAGCATGAGCCGCAGCCACAACCAGAGCCACAACATGGACCACAGCATGGGTCACAGCATGGATCACAACATCCACTTTTGCAGATGACTTTGCTTGAACAACAGACTGGCATGTTGAAGTGATTGAGAATGTGTTGTGTAGAGAACAGTAGAGGATGTTGAGAACTGGTTGATGAAATGATGTGAGAAATGATGAGCTTATATACGAATTGAGAAGTGGGAAAATGAAGTAGGTGGTTCCAGACGTGAAAAAAATAATAAGTTGTTGCCCTGTTGTTTCAGAACCTAACTTACACGCGTACAAGAGAAATGTCTGAGAAGAAAAGGTTACTACACTTTAGTTACAGTTGAATTCAACATAACACAGAAGTGAAACTCACGCTATTACTGATGCTTTCCACGCATTTGTTTTTGATAATTAATGAGAATATGTGACATACAAGTTTATTTGCTTACTAGAAACGTGAAACGGAAAAATAACTCGAAACATTTTCGGAGGGAAAAATAATTAATTTTTTAACGTTCACCCGAAATACTAGCACTATCAAATTATGTTGACACTAGAAATAGCGAGCGCATAAAAAACATTGTGAAATTCTTCAATATAGGTATACAATAACAATAACAATAACAACAAAATGGCAATCAAGTTATATGTCGAACTGAACGCATTGATATGTACGTTGCATCGATGATCTTGAAAGCCAGCGATTGAAAATGTTAACATATAACAGAAAAGGAAAAATATGTGTCTCAAAGGCCTTTGAATTCGCTTCAATATAATTAACCGTCTTTTTAAGATGGCATGCACTCTTCATTGTAAAGACGGTCTTGGTCACACTGGAAATTTGCTAAAAAGCAAACTTATGGACATATTATTTAGACACACAGTACTTGGAGATAATGTGTAAAGAACTTCGTAAGAATGAGAATGTTGTGTCGATGCGTATGTTTTCTTCGTTCTGATTACAGCATACAACTCACATAAGTATATTCACATTCTCATCTACACCCACTACGGGGTAAGGGAGACTGCTATGCCTGTTCAAGATCCCATTGCGCTTAATCTGTTGAAATTGGAAGGAGAAAGCTACAGATCTCGTCATTTTTATTTAAAAAAAAACAACTTTTTCATGAATAATATGTGTAGAAATAAGTCACTCAAAAAAGCTTGAAGTCATTCATTCTATCATGTATTTATAAGACACAGCTGCAATTCCAATGAACCGTAATTCTATGTCCTAACAAAGCTGCCACACGCTCAGTCCATATATTACAATTGTTGCTGGCGGAGTATTCGCCAGTGCTTGCTTGTTGTACTGCTCGATAAACATCACTGAGCTTGTGTCTTCCGAGCGAAACACAATTTTGTCCACAAATCCGATCAGTAGCATAACTGCTCAAACGTTTGTTAGAACCTGTTCCCCATTCGAAAACTCGCCACTTATCATCAATGTTATCAACAGCAATAGCATGATGAACACCGAGACCTAGAGCTGAAGTCACTCGACATGACCGTACACAAACATTACCTTCCTCCCCTCCACGTCCATCATACCATAACGGATCAATATATCGAACTGTTTTAGCCAGACTTGAGGATGTGGGATGAGAGTGTATGTAAGACTGAGATATTATCTGCACCCTTATCCTCACAAGATAACATCTATGTTTATGCAGCCAGTATGAGTTTCTGTTCTTACCCGGGTTTATTTTATTTTAAGTGTCATATGTATATACGGAATCGATTCACAAGAAAAAGGAAAAGTGAAGGGAAAGGCAATGTTCAGATTAGCAGCAGCACACTCGTGGACATGTTTTGCAGCAGACAGTCTTCTTGACAATTTTGACAACCGGTCGGTAGCAGACTGTTTTGGTGACGGTAGTTTTCTTGCGTACACAACATGGAGCACAGCATGGATCGCAACATGGATCACAGCATGAATCGCAACATGAACCACATCCACAACCAGAACTGCAGCATGAGCCGCAGCCACAACCAGAACCACAACATGGACCACAACATGGGTCACAGCATGGATCACAACATCCACTTTTGCAGATGACTTTGCTTGAACAACAGACTGGCATGTTGAAGTGATTGAGAATGTGTTGTGTAGAGAAAAGTAGAGGATGTTGAGAACTGGTTGATGAAATGATGAGAGAAGTGACGAGTTTATATACAAATGGTTTCTGATGCATAACGTGACATTATCAGGTAAGAGAGAAACGTATGAGTGGGAAACGTGGCTACATTTTAGTTTCAATTGATTTCCACACGAGACAGAGGTGAAACTCACGCTTATCACGCACAACCGCGAAAGGGTAACTATGCAGAAGACAGTTTTTTCATGGGAAAGTGTCGATTTCTACGTTCTACTACAGTAGTAGAATAATCAATTTACGTTACCGTTATCACATAAACAGAGAAAAATATTGTGCGTTTATTAGATACGTGCAACGAAAACAACAACGAAAATGTTTATACGGGTGTAGAAACAAGTTATTCTAATTGACAGAATGCGTTGGATAGTAACCATAAAGTCGCTCTACTTACGTGAGAGTATTATCAGTAAAGTTGTAAAAAGAATGATATAAGTTCAATGAGGACACTTCATTTGAATTAGGTTTCGATACGTATTAACTTCAACTTGTAAGTAGGCATTTTTCAATTTTGTTTGGCAATACTGATCTGTGAGATACATAATTGACGCTTCAAGTTCACGAATCTCCATATCTTGATCATTGATCAAGATTGCATTCTCTACAAAAGTAAGGATTTATTTGTCAAGAGACTTGTTTCGCAGCGTACTTTTCTTTATCATGTTCAGCCTAGCGGCAAACTCTTGATGTTCTTTAAGCGCTGCGATATGTTCACCTTGTAAATGAGTGTATGACACCGACATTTGACTAATTACATTAATCAGTTCAAGTAGAGATTGACGGGACATTCCAGAAGTTAAAGAATTCTCTGCTGTATTCGTTGTCTTGTGTTTTGTCTCTATATCCGTTCTATAATGCTCAGCGAGTTCAGCCTTTTCCATCTTTGATAGTCGATTAAAATCATCTCTGATGGCTGCGACTGCTCGTACGATTTCAGTCCGATAAAAAGCACTAATATCAATAGAAAAGGATGCCTTTTGAATGGCGTCAATTTCTAAGTCGTGTAAATATGAGAAAAACGCTAATTGCTCCTCCAAACTTGGTATTTGATTTCCCACAGATATGCGATCGGTAGTCACTTTTGAGAGTTCGGCTTCCAGACAAAAAATTCTATCATTCTGAGCCTTGACTTCGGATGCTAGCTTCTCCACGCCGTATAGAGACTGGCCTCTCATAACATCGAGTTGATCTACGAATAAAATAAAGTGTATTGCAACGTGTTCGATATTTCATATACCTATTGTTCGAATAATAACAGAGTTATTTTCTTCCGAAAGTTGATTATCGCGCAAATCGAGGAACTCTAACTTGCCTTGTCGTTTGAGTAGTCTTAAAATATCTTTCATACATTCATCGGTAACTCTGTTCGAACGAAGATTTAGTTCGAGTAGAGTTCTGTTATTGGCTAATATTTTAACGAACGCTTTCATGCCCTTATCTCCGATAGCATTACCACTCAAGCTTAGTTTTTCCAGGATTGGATGGGAATACAGTGCTGCAGCCAATTCTAGCGCTCCTAAATCAGTGATTGCATTGATGTCTAACCGAAGTTCTATCAGAGTTTTATTGAGACCTAGAGACCAGGCTAGTTGTGCTGCGCCTTTGTCACCCAAGCGGTTGCTGTCGAGAAAAAGGTGTGTTATCATGGGTTTTGATGCTAGCACATTTGCCAGACCATTTGCAGCCTGTATACCCAACGAATTGCAGCTGAGATCAATCTGTCTCCAATGAACATTGTCCATCAATTCACTGCCGATGATGTCTGCATCTTGATCAGACAGATTTCTGTTCCAGAAACTGATCTTAGTGCCATTTCGATTCATGTAAATCAACTCTTCTAAATCTTTGTTGCTGTATGATGGCGATTGATTTTCGTTATGCACACTGCTGTCTGGAATTGATTGCACGTTTTTGACCACGACTATTGGTGCATTCACATCTTGTGGCTTTGGTGGTATTATCGAGACTGAATCTTTCTTTGATGGTTTATTCAAGATTAGGGGTGGCACTTTAACTTTATTTTACTTTACTTTACTTTACTTTTTGAGGTAAAGTATAAGGGAGATGATATGTGAGGGTGAAGGGGTGGGTGTAATTCCGGAATTGGTAGGAATTCCGCGGAATGGTGTGTATCGATTCCGGAATTGCTTCGGGTTCATTCCGGAATCGTGGGAACTGATTCCCAAATGTGCAACATTGAGGGTGTAGATGTATGTGTTTAAAAAATCAGTATTCATCACTCTTGCATTAGAAACTGTGTTCAATCATATTCAAACTCTATAGTACTGTTCTACGCACCTTTCATTCATGATCTGTTGTAAAGAAATGTATTGAAAACACATTTTGCATTGATCTATATCACACATAATCTTTATTATCTTTCAGAGTAATGTCAAGATTTTCCAATGCTTCAAGCATATACTACTGGCTCATTCAAGTTAGACATTCAGTTCAGTTTTTCACAAATCCATACAATGAAAGGTTTGAGATTCATAATCATAGATGATTTCTATTTCCTTGTGCGACTATTTCGTGCACTACAACAAAGGCAAGAAAGCCAGTTGGAGGACCTTTGCGTGCGATCGGAACGTCTAGAAAACGTTGTATTTATTTATTTTATGAGCCGTTATGAGGGAATATACCGGGTATATTACTCAAAGAATATTGTGGGAATAAGAAGAATCTAGTAGAAGAACATGGATTAAGCCAATAGTCTATCCAAAGTATTGACGAATAGCTGGAAGAAACCAACGAAAGGAAGAGAAACAAAAAAAACCCAGTGAATAGAACGATATCGTGTATGTAAGCTGAGAGCATTATCAAAGCATCGACGATTGTCCAGAGAGCACAACATCATATCTACCCTTTTTAGTACCGTCGAGTAATCATTACTGAGAATATAATACTCACATTCCCTTCGCACTTTTTGGGTAGAGCTGTGATTATTGAATAATTCTTCATAGCATGTCTCGCGTCAAAGAAGTTCGTCTTTATGGAAACGGAAAAGCTTTTGTTGCAACTCATCATGTGTTTTGTGTGCTTACAACAGACGATGGCAGATATCATTTGTTGGAACTAACCAACGGCCATGGATCATCATCGTCTGGCAGTTCCGGTTCACGCATATTCAGCTATATTCAAATTCACCAGGCATCATCAGGAACATTGGACGGTGTACTGAAGCTTCGATCCAACACTGATGAGGATGCAGAGCGGTGGGGAGCAGTAGAAAAGACGAATACATCATGGATAGAGGTTCAAGCGGTTGTTGATGATTACAATGGTAAGAGTTATGATGGTATTTTTAGAAACTGCCGGACATTTGTTAATAAAATACATCAAGTTTGTGGTTCAGAAAAGCGTTGTCATCATTGATGAACATTTGTTCATTGTCCTATTTTCTCATGTGAGACATCCTCGATTTCTTTCGTGTAACGATAATCGTTTTGTGTACCGCTAGTTTTTTTTTTCATGTTTACAATTTGAGTAATTTGTGAAGAAATATTCTATTTGTACAAGAAATAAATACCTCTTTCTTTGATCAAATTTCATATTGTGTCACCTGAAAACCTTGACTCAGATGATTTTACACTAAAATTCTGTCTATTCTGCCGAGGAATTTACAAAAAATTCTTGTTAACAAAGCGTATCTGCGAATAATTTCTATGCTACAACCGTGTATGGCAACTATATTCAGGATGTGAATGATGATCTCTTTTCTTCACTCTCCCATGTACGCCAAGTTTTCTCTTTGTTGAATATTATTGTTTTTGTGTATCGGTATATCACTGCAGGTCACTTCTCTTTGCTGTCCGTTATATACAAAAGCCCTGACACATTATTGATTCAATGCACTGTTATCGACTAAGCATTCTATCTCATATGAATGTGTCTTCTAAGGATAAAATCCATTTTTTAATACGCAGTTAGAACAAAACGATATTTTAATAAGTCAAGCAATTCTAAAAAGCAGACTAAGCACTTTTTTTTCACAAAAAGCGACGATCTTCGGTACGCTGAACAGATTCTGATAATCACTATCATTATTCCGGTAGGTTACTTTCGTGAAAATAGCTGCTTCATCAGACCAATGAACACTTAACATATACAACAATCTAGCTGTGAACTTTCATATCATGGTCGACCCACAGTATGTTATTTTGATTATACAAATCTCCATTCTTTCCGTTGTGGTTTTATTGTCACTTATGTATCTATTGCCCATCATTTTCATCGAACGTTTTCACACTACAAATAATATTTTGACAGGAAACTTTTGTTTAACATCTCTCATAGCTTCCATTCATTGGATTATCAATAAACTCATCGCTATAGTTAATCCCGAGATAAGTTATTCCGCTCCTATCATGTGTACACTTACAAATTATTTCGGAATTTTTGTCAATTGTTTACTAGTTCATTCGATAGTCATAGTTACGATTAGCAGATGCTCTGTAACTCTTTATCCGACGAAAAGATCGTTCAAAAGTCGTAGCTGGGCGTATTTATCATCGATTATTCAGTGGGTATTCACTTTCCTTTCGGCAATACCAATTCTAGTTTATGATTACCAGGTAAAATCAATACAAGAAAAACACAAACGTTTCTTCATTTTATCTGCAGGTCTGTTTCTTCTACAACGACCACGACGACGATCATTGGGTTTGGATATACGTGTTATGCATTTTATTCGTAATTCCAATGGTCTTTATCTTGATTTTTAATTCGATTATTTTTGTCTTTGTTCGATCATCCACTCGACGTATCCGTCAAGCAAAAATCGCAACAACCATATCTGGATCCGCTACTTTATCCCAACAACATACTCGAGATATGCACCTACTCAAACATATACTTTTCTTGTTTGTCGTATTTATTTTAGGATGGGGACCTCTTTATATTATTTTAATTTTGCCAGATTATATCTTGGCAGCATTGCCATCATGGTTACCTCTTCCCCTACAAGTTCCGCCTGCAATCAGTTGTATGGTTCAGATAGTCGATTTATTTATTTACAACCGCGAAATTCGGCAGTACTTAAAGCAACAAATCTACCGTTGTTTGCATTTAGCTTGAAATTGGCTCAAACAAAAACTGTAGAAAAGAAAATATTTTATGATGTCAAACAGAACATAACTTGTTGTTGTTGTTATTTAGATCATTTTCGTTTTAAAACAGCGCTCAATAATCAGTCATAGTGTTGGACGTTGCACTTATCGATATTGTGAGCAGGGCGAAAATATTCTTTTTGCAACGTTGTCGTTTATCTACGCGCCATGTAATGCAGCTCATTCAAGCATATGGAAATGAAAGACTAAAGCTTGAAAGTGTGATATAAATGAACAAATTAAATTTAGTTTGTCATCTATGTGGAAATAAATGAATGAGTCGGGATCTAAAGCGTTTTTTTTCTACAGCACTAATGTATAGCATTTCAATGCTTGTAACTTTTATGAAATATGACGGCGCACTTTGATGATTGATATGGTATGTTGAGCAAAGGCTTATTCGCGTTGTATTACAATTCGAATATCATCGATTTCAGTTTGTTGGCTTCTGTTTGATCCTCTAATTGATCTCACCCTAAATAATAATCGATTGGCTGTTAATTTTCGATATAATAGCCGTAAGAGAAAGCGTTGTACCAGATTTGCATTCATTAACACGGTCATCGTGGCATGTATATATGAAATAACGACGGCGTAGAAGTTGCTTCTGTCTTAAATCATCTGTACATCTAAAACAAATGTTTTTTCCCCGAATTTTGATCCTTTCGTCTTATATTTCAATTGATTTCTTTGCAATATTATCCGTTGTATCGAACCGTAGTAAATACTTAATTGTATATAGAAAAACAAATGTTGCTACAAGTTCTGTTGTCCTTCGTCAGATGAGACACATGTATATCTTTCTAGGAGATACTATATATCATCATTAGCTGTCATTTGTTCTCTTTCCTGCTTCTTCTCCTCCTAACTATCGAGAGAAATAGTCGTCATCTATCAATGTATCAGTAATTCATATGAGATATTAACATAATATGTTGCCGCTGATGGGGAGAAACAGTTTTCGACTGATTTTTTTACTTATTCTGTATATCTTAATTGCTGTAGAATTCCGTTTGACCGCGGAATGAAAACACATGTGGAAAAATGAAAGAAACAACATTACTTTTGCCATAATTATGTTTGCGATAATCTAGACGCCAAAATGGCTCCTCACGAGAGAAAAGGAAGAAATTTATGATGATAATAGTTGTTCTTTTATCTTTCAGATGGACAATTTTATGGTGAAAATGAAAGTTGTCTTTCTATTACTTATATCGATGTTCAGATCGAGAGCATTCGCGATGAAGTATGAATCGAAGGAAGATATCCATGATTTCAAAGTAGCACTTAGCGATCATTTTATTGTCGGCGCTTCGAATCTTCGAAAAACTTATATCTTCTATACAATATCGAAAACAACTCGTAACTCTTCATGCATCGTTCATAATCCACACATTGATCTAAATATCTATGGTCTGCAAATCTTAAAAATGAAGAAAAAGAATGTCGTCTCTTTTGTTCAACTGGCCGAAAATAAAAAGACGAAATCTGCTGTTCTCTCTCGTATCTCCATGAATTTGACAGCATGTGACAGCGTCCGACAATCGCAGCCTGTCTTTCATCATACGACGGTTTGGAAAGATGATCATCAAGAGCATATGTTTCTCAAAGTTGATCCACAAGAAAAATACGCGTATATATTTGCCGATTCGTTTATACTATCATACGATTTGTTTACCGATCGAATCAATCAAATCAACAGAACTAATTGGATTATTTTCGGTAACGACTACGGATCGTTTACTCCCTATGCATTCGATCTAAAGAACGATTGGGCTGCGGTAGCCGGATTTCATACAACTCAAAATAATTCTCGAAGTAAACAGTGTCTCTATCTATTCGAACTGCAGCCATTACGTGTCATTAATGTCAGTTCTATCGGTACGAATGACATTCAAGGGCCGGAAAGAATTAGATACAATC